GGGGGGGCCTGATTGGATTTGACATTTAACGACATGGATAGAAAGCAGTAGTAGTCAGTAAACCAGCCCCGTTGCGGTGACCTCCGAAACACTAGCCGTCCGCAGCAAGTGTTTTTTGGGTCTGCCGGTTCTCCTTTTCCAGGCCTTTGCACGTTGCCTGTCGCATTGTTATTTCTCTTGGGACGAACGAGCTGTCCGAAAGGGGGCCCCGGAAGAAGCCGAGAAGGACGCATGGGTCAGCGAGTTTGTGCCGCGGCCCGTGTCATGTAGTACTCCAATGCAAGACTACATGTTGTCTTGGCTTTGCTGGAGTGATATAGTACTCTAATGCAAGACTACATGGTGTCTTGGCTTTGCTGGGGTGATATAGTACTCTAATGCAAGACTACATGGTGTCTTGGCTTTGCTGGGGTGATATGCTCCAGAAGCATATAAAGACTTGCCGTGGTGTCCCGTCCCCGCATCAGCCCGAGGTGTCGGTAACATAACACGGAATCAAGAAGCCCTCAGCTCCCCGTTCCCATGCATTGTCTGGTTCTAGCTTGCGAGTGGGAAGCATACGGGCCCATGCATAGCTGTTAGCCACCTTGTCGTACCAAACTGTGTCGGCCGCGTCGGGACGGACAGCCACCTTGGAGACCAAGACAATAACTGGTCTGAGCATGCCGTCGAAACGTCAGTACTGTTCTGCTGGGTTTTCTCAGCAAAGCAACCCGTCAGTCTTGTTACGAACCTCTGCTCCGGCTCCCCAAGTCTCGAGACTGTAGCCGTCCCGTCACGAGCATCTACCAAGGACGTTGCTGCCCATAGTAGTGCTTTGTGTCGTCCAGTGCTTGAATGTTGAGGTTGGAGGCGGCTTAGGGGTTGTGCATGCGTCTGCGTGAGTAGAGGAGTCTGTATAGCGATGGCAGCCAGGCCAGTGCCACGGGGAAGAATAGTTGCAGACCTTTCTGTTTTTCCAATACAAGGAACGGTAATACCTGTGTGATACGGTGGTAAGTTGGACCGGTCTCCTCCCTCGTCACCTGTCGTTCCTAGGCTGGCATCGGGATGCGAAGCAGGGCCGCTTGCAACTCCCAAGGAGAGTGCAAGGAGAAAGACGGCCTTGGGAAGCCGGCACATGGTGGACGTTTGGGCGAAACTTTCTAAACTTTTTATATAGTATAATTGTAGCTACTTAATAGCTACTATAAATTAAAGAAAGCTATATATTATAGAAGTTATTAGTAAGTAGTATTATTATAACTTTACTATAACAAAGTGTAGCTATAAGTAACAAGGAGAATTTTATTAAAGACTTAATACTTATTTAAGTATTTAGAGACATAAAGTACAGTTACTTTTAATTTAACTTGATATAATAGTATAAGCTACCAAATTAGCAGTAAACTAGCACCTAAGAAGCCCATATATATAAAGAGAAGAATTTCCTACTAAGATAGAAAGAGGCTTAGAGATGAATCCAAGTAGGCTAGCTCTTCCAAAACACTAGGAGGAGACTGGCGCCGCGGACGATTGGAGAGATTGTAAGCGACGAGGTTGCAAAGGAAATTGTTACTTCCTGCGAAGCTAATTTGGGCCCCGACTGGCGTTCGGTTCTCCGCCAAGGTGCACGACTCCGCGACAGCTGGTGGTGAAGGGGAGGCTGAGGACAAAACATCATGTTTACTTTGGCACACGATTACACCAGGCCGACTGGTCGCTCGGATAGGAGGGGAATGGCGTAATAATGGCTGGATTCACAGTGGTGATTAGGACTTGGATCAAGACGTTTTGCCGAATCTGCCGTATTGAACTGTGACTTGTGATTCAAATTCCACCGTGATAACCACACGCCAACATGTCCAGCATACTTGATGAATTGGCGCAAAACGAATCATCCCATGTAGCTAAGTACTGGCTTCTAAGGTAGCCGTGACGACATGAACTCGATCAATAAGTCGGCTCGTAGATACCCTTGGTATAAAATCTATCCAGCTTCACAAGAGACAACAAAGTTGTTGGGTCCATCACACTTTTCAAGACTTTGAGTTCCACAACAAAGCCATATCGACAGAACGGGCCAGCCATTCACTCTCCAATGTCGAATGACGTGCATGCCGACCCCTGACGTATCGGGGAGCTGTGCCCGAGGGTCTGCCAAAAATAGCCTTTGAGCTCACGGGGCTCATCATGGTAGTATCGGCGGGGCCGTGTTCGAGAAGGCCCATTCCATTTTGTCGATTTCTCAGCTGCGACGACCTCATACAGTGTCCTTGTGCCGAACAAGGCTTTGAAGAACAGCACTGCACGAGACAAGCAAAGCTACAGGCCCCTTTCAATGTTTCCGCGGGACACGTGTCACCGCTTCATGAGGAGCAGTCACTTCATCCAGCGGCTCGGCGTTGTCCGGAAACGGGCTTGACGGCGAGCCTAAAATTGGCATCGGTCTTGCGTGCCCTTTGGTGCCTTGGGCTCTTTGTCGACCCAACCAACTCGCGATTCGGACCAACAGGCCCCGCGGGAGATGTTGCATGATAGATTACACAACAGGGTCACAGGGTCATTGTTGTGGACAGACAGAGAGAGGCCCAAGCTGCAGGATGGATGGCCGGATTCGGACATGATAACATCCATCACATTTGATGCCGCGGGGGCCAGGACTCAGGACCTCTTCTCGCCCATCGGATTCCTGGAAGAGCTGAGGACCTTTGATGGGCCAAAGTCGATGGTTGGCCGCTGTTCCAAGTCCACACATGTCCCCTTGTCACAGTTTGCCGTTGCGGCGAGTGAGCAGAGACGGGAAAGGTACTCCGTAATGCCGCTCCAAGGAGCTGGGTATGCAAATGATGATGATAAATCACAGAGCTGGTCGAGAATGGAAGAGTTTGGTTTGGGTGCGTTGGAAGTTCAGAAATACAGTTCTGCTGCTGAAATGGAGGGTGAAACTCGTTCCTTCGATACACTGACTGACCAAACGGCTCTGTGGGATATGCAAGCCTCGCGGCCTGAGCAAGGCTTCGGGCTCGGGATTCGTGACATGCGCAGTCTTATGCACGCCTGCTGTTGGGCCGTCAGTCCTCGGGTTGCCCAGACATGAGGGCCGTAACCCGTACAGAGGCGGCAGGTTTCTCCAACTCCGGCCAGTCAGTGCGCTCAGTATTCCGTGTCGAGATAGTCCCATCGCAAACAAGGAGCCGTTTCCGCTGAGTAAGGTGTCGCAACGTGGTGGTTCCGCTGGCCATGTCTGCGAGTCGAGGTGGCAGAAAGGTGCCCATGGAAAAGGAGGCGCTCTCGACAGCCGCTTTTCGCTTCTGAGCAGCGGCATACACGGCTTGTGATCTGGGACGAGTTTAATCTGAACAACCTCAGCGAGAGTTATGGCCACGTGCTCGATTTCGTCGTCCCAAAGCAACGGATAGGATGCCCCCGGGCCGACGAGGCACTGGCAGGCGCTGAGCTGAGATGCGCCGACGACATCCTTCATTTGATCACCTGGAATAAGGAGATCATGGACCCGACTCTCAAGTTCGCCAAGTCGCATCTCGGCCTCCATGAAAACATTAGCCTTGAGCAGAGGCATTCGTCGGCGGACAGGCTTTCCGTTGCCACCTTTCCCGGTATGACAAGAAGGCTCACCGTGAATCACGTAGTTGGGCTTCACGATTTCCCGGGCCCAAACCTAGTGGTTGGCTTGGGGAGATCAAGTTCCAAGTGGAGTGGCACGAACCTCGCGTTGCAACTCGACACTTCGTCCAAGAGACTTCTCTGGCCGCTGAGACAGCTGGCAAATATCTGCAGAGGAGCAAAAACCCGGTACGGGTACATCCAAACAGAGCAAGAGATGGTGGTTTGCTGCTTCAGCAAGGACGGCAATGAAAAGTGGAAGGTGGCAATGATGCCAATCCCTTGGACCAGAAGCGGCGTCCATATGCTCACGACGGACCTTGCTTTGTGGTGGCTTTGCATGCTCGCAATGTCGGCCCATCATCATCGCGCTCTTGTTAGCGAGCTAGAGATGGTCAAGATCAACGCTTGGAATTACGTCCCCCTCGGCCAGGGACGCGGCTTGGTGCGTCGCCATCTATACTCGAACTTTGAGGAGCCCGTGAGCTTCCCCACGTCTCAGGTTTACATGCCAGGCAACGGAGCCGCAAACGCGGCGGGTGAGAGCCTTGCCTGGCCGGAGGCGAACGAGTCCCTCATGGACAGCCTTCTCGGCCTTGGTACTTCCAACGGTGCCCATGTTCCCGATTCTGATCCGCTAGGCTTCGGTCGTACCTTGGGGCAAGGATTATCAAACGTGGCTGATGGAGGAAAAGAAGAAAATGCTGGCAGAAAGGAGACGAGCGTTTACAGGGCGCCGGAGTTCTGACACTATTTGGACGCTATCCTCGCTCGCTGACACCAGCTCCATCAGTAGCTTCTTGCACCGAGTGTTGCTGCTACTTTCCGAAAACCCAGGCGAAGATTCCAGTGTTGGTCGGCGCGCTGGACGCCGCATGTCCATCTCTTTTGTTTTTCTTGGCCTTCTCCCCCCTATTTGTCCTAGTCAAAACAGTTTTTGCAAAGAAAGAAAATTTACGCCACTGTGAGTGCTGGGTGTTTTGCCATGCGCGAAAGCGGAACTATGAGCCCATCTTTGAAATCCCACTCGAGCGAGTTGCTGAAACTCGTTTTGCCCTTGAGATTCGCCGCCACCTCGCTACTGAAATCCAAGTACCATCTGGGGGGCTTCGCAAGGAGCCGCAGGCGGGTCTTGGACACGGCACCTCCGTTGACAAGGGTCTTTGGCTCCGATTTGCTTCCTCCACCCGGTGTTCGAGTCGCTCTATTCCTGGGACTAGCGGCGAAAGTCCTCCAGTCATACAGCCTTGGATCAACGAAGGAAAAGACACGCCCCCGCGACGGCGTACTTCTGAGTTTGTATTTCGTTCGACAACCAAGCCCGTTGGGAAATGCATAGACTGAGATTTTCCTCTTGTGGTCCCCGCACTCGTCGTTCCACTCGTTGACCATGTCGTCAAAGTCCCAGTAGTCGTTGATGCTGAACTGGAACGTTTCAAACTCCATGGCCGATATCCCCTCGGGCGTAAGTCGCGGGTTCAGCTCCGGGGTCGTGACAAAATGGGGAACAGTAATGGCGGTGCTGAAGTCGGCAAACTTGCCACCGATGAGCTGTCGGTGTCCCACATCAATTTGGATGATGCCAAGCTGCTGCAATCGAACCACGTGTCGGAGTATCCTGCGCGCGTCCCTCGTGCGCAAATCTTGGCAGCCGGGACCAAACTCCTTGACGATGCCCCGGATAGGCGGGGCCCTGCCGTCTTTTCCCAGAAAGCGCGAGCGCATGTCCTCGCCGTCGGGGAAGTCGATGTTCCCGTTGAAGCTGAGGTTGCGGCCGCCAAACTGAGTCATGACGGCTCTCTCATGGTCCTCGTCCAGGAGCAGATAACCGTAGCATCGGACCGCCAGTTCTTCGTGGCCGGCCTCTTGGAGGCGACCAAAAGCGCGGCACTCGCAGGTAAAAGGCTCCGAGTAGTTGTAGAAGGCGCTCATCCCCTCGAGGTCGTCGGGGTCGACGTGGTGCGAAGGACCCAGCCAATCCCCATCGTAGACGAATCTGAACTGAACGCAGGGCCCGATGATGAATTAGCTGGTTATTCGATGGATGCACGCCTTGTCCATGTTTCCACTTCGCTCACAAGTTTTAACGCGTAGACCTGCCCGCTGATCCTGATCTTGAAGACGTGTGCATGCAAGCCCTCGCCGAGGTATTCGAGAAACTCCATCTTCTGCGGGCCCGGGAAGGGGAATGCCTTCAACTTGGGGCCGTCGCACCGCGGCAGTGGCACCAAATCGGCGGCAGATTCGGGCCAATCAGGATACATGACCAAGGCAGGAGAAGGAGAGGAGAGGAGGACAATGCAGAGGAAACTCCGGACGGTGACGGGGAGGCGAGGGCCATTTTGCAGCAGAAATCTTGAGTCTCTTAAATAAAACAGCCGTGCTCGTGCCAACGGGCCGTGAGACGTGAGAACCCTGCAGCGCATCCCAAGTCCAGGGCGGACGAATACTGTTAGCCAGCGACCGACCGGGAACAAGTCACGCCTTGGTCAGAGGAGAGGCCTCTCGCGTCGCAGAGCGTCACTTCCCTCGCACGTGACCTCCTCCGAGACTTTCAGCCGACGACACGACAAAGAAGGGCCCGACACGACTATGATTGTATCAGACTTTGAGCCTCGGCCTGTGCGTTAATGGAGTCCAAAGGGTCGTCACATGTCTCAAAGAGATTGAGGGCCTCTGATGACTCAAAGCCGCGAACTGGCTAAATCGACGTGACTCCGTTTGGGCCACTCCTCTTGGGCCTATATAATAAACAGATTCTTTCTTCGTCAGAGCTCGACACGAGCAACTGTTGAGATTGCGCGACCCCGACCCCGACCCTGGGACACGTGTCACGGCCAGCTGCCGACAGACCATTTCCTCCATGGTTGTCCGAGCCGAGACTCACAGCCCTGCCCCTGTCTCACCGTCACGTCACGACAAGGGGTTTGCGCGAACAAAGGCCACACGAAATGAAGCCCCCGGCCTGTGACTGGGATTGTCTCGGGCTTTGAGCCTCGCCCTCTGCACGGCACAGATGGAGTCGGCAGAGGGGGGTCGTCACGACTCACATGTCTCGGAGAGATTGGGGGCCTTTGATGACTTGAGAGCCGCGAATTGGCTAAATCGAGATGACTGCCTCGAGGCCACCTGGTGATTGAGCCTGAGCCCTGGCTTGTTGCAGGCCCCGTCGGCCGTAGGGCATGCTTTGAAAAGAACAGCTGCAGTAGAACCTGGCCCCGGCGTCATCATCATCAATGGCAAAGACGCAGTCGGCGGAGGGCCCCTCGCCCGCATCGGCCATGACGATTTCGGGTGACGGCCTCCAGGGGCTTCGTCTTGAATCTTGATGCCGAGCACTGGCGAGGAGACGCGGAAGCTGGCAGTGCGTTGATTTTCTCCCTTGGTGAAATGCTGCCTCCGAGCATGGTTTGGGCTCTAGTTCGTGCTGGGTTGCCGGGCGCCACGGCCCTTGATCGCTTTCCAGCACCGCGGAGACGACGGAAACCAAGTGCTTACGGAGTACCGAGTACAGGGCAATATCTCAGTCCAAGCTGAGCCAGTTGACGGGACGTTGACGACGAGCGCGGTCCTGCGTCCACGTGACCGGGCGCGGAGCACTCGGCAGCCATGCATGACACCTTGATGTCCCGCCTTTCCCAGAGAGGGAAGCTTATCAGTCAGGGCTGTCTGGTTTCGCGGCCTTGTCCGCCGCGCACGTTCACGTTGGTCGACGCCGGGCCGGGAATCAGAGTCTGTATTATTCAATGCCAGGCGAGATTTGCAACGGCTTGACTCGGGAAGGACAGATTTGGCCCGAGTGGCGCGAAGCGTTGAGCCGGGCGAGTGCAAAACGCAATGTGCCAGCCGGGCTTGTAAGTTGTGGCCAAGGCGCGGCGGTAGGCAGCGCAGTTGACGCCGGTGGCGTGTCTGAGACTTTGCACCTGCTGCATGCGGGGGTGTGTACTGAACCAGACCGGACCGGACGCACGGTCAACGGGTCATTGGCGCCTGGGCCCTCTCTCCCCCGACCCGAGCCGCTGTCATCATCGACTTGCCGGCCGATTCGGGCCAAGGCGGAGCGGCTAAGCTGCCGCTAGACGCCGGACGCCGGACGCCGGACGCCGGACCGGCTGGCTGGTCGACATGTGCGGCCACACGGGTGTCGAGTCCATGACGACCTTGCCAAAAGTACTTTTACTAGAGTAATTGGGTTGAAGTGAGGAAAAGATTAGAATACAACAGTAAAAAAAAAAAAAAACAATAATTCCCTACCAGGGAGCAGAAGAAGACCCCTTTACTGCCAGCTGTGCTGATCTTGATGCCTCGCCGGTGGGCGTATTCGACATCAACTACCAGCTTAAAGAAGAGACAGCTCTGACGGAATATCACAACCAATGCCAAGCTCCAGCGGGCAATGAGGATAACGCCAGTGATTCACCATCGAAGCACGACAAATCTTAATGGAACAGTCACACCATCAGACCAAGATTAATCGATACTGCGAACCCGGTGTGACTCGTCGCCAGCTCGTGTGCACACATCCACGCGCAGCTTTCGGACCGAGACTAGAGGCGCTTTGGTTAAGCTTGCAAAAGCCCGTTACGCGCACAAAACAAAACGAAACAGCTACTTCATGCAGACGTGCTTTGACCCCGATTTGATCTCGTTGGTAAAACATTAAATACTCCCGCTGCCCAGACCATTCTCGCGCGGCTTGCTTTACTTTTGATGAACTTTTCCTGCACCTCGAAACGCACAGAAGATTATTACTGATTTATTTAATATCTAATTTGATTCTTCAACTTACTCCCACGACCCACACGACCCACGGTCCACGATGAAGCCCTCGACCGCCCTCGCCGGTGCTGTTGCACCGGTTGCAATCGCCTTCCCCGGCAGACTCAACCGGCGAGAGATCACCAAACGAGTGAGTGGGCGCCGGAACGCTCTCTAGACACGCTCAATTGTAGCTTGTAAGCGAAATAAGGCAAATATGCTGACTTGAATGGCGCTCCAGGCTGTAAATATACTACTATGCACAAGAGTATAACTCGTAGCATGCTAATCACCACCCGGTAGCTTGTGAGTATCTCGCGAGATGCAAAGTCTATCGAATGCAATCAACCAGTACTATGCTAACCACATTGACCATAGGAGGTGCGTCATCTCGCAGAGTTTACAGTCTTACTGAATACGAGCAGCCACTTGGGTGCTAACGTGTAACGTCTTAAGGATGTAAGTGCTTCCACTAATCGATCCGTGATAAGTAACTAGCTGCCTGTGTACCAACTAACCTTCTCAACTCTAGTGCGTACGTCTCTATTCCATTCGACAAAAAATAATCTAGTAATACCCCTCAACATGCTAATGTGACAACACTTAGTTTGTAAGTTACTTTTGCGATTATTACATACTACAGATATACTAAATATTCCTCTAGATTGTAAGGCGAAATAAGGACTAAATATATTACAAAACCTTACTAAGCAATAATTATAGCCCGTAAGTTTTTTGTCTTATGTTTAAGGTATTCGCAAGCTTGCTAATAATTTATCTAGTACGTAAGAGCCTCTTTGAAATAAGAAATGTCATCTATCAAAACTCTCTAACGCGAATTTATCTTGCATTATAGCTTGTAAGTAAGGACATACAAGGTCCCATCTTGACATGTAGTACATTGCTAATTTTGTTTAGAATGTGAGCTGCACTAAAGTAGTATTATAATGTTAATCTTAAAGGTGCTAATACAAGTGGCAACACAAGAATGTAAGAATATCCCTAAAGTAAAAAGTTGTATTTAATAAGATGTATAAACTAATCTGTATAAAACCTTTAGCTTGTAAGCCTAGCTGTAAAGTATATACTACTTTAGTTGCTAATAAATATAAATATTGCAGTTTGTAAGAAGCAAGCATAGTTACATGCTTAATTACATTACTAATTAAGTTGAATCTACAGGGTGTAAGTACTTATAAAGCCTTATAGCAGCTAATCTGCTGACATACATTGCGACTTTAGGGAGTATGTTATTACTATTAATAAATACTATATTGCTTCTGTAGTATCTTGCATACTAATATTAATTACGCGTTTAGGGCGTATGTTGCTTCTACTACAAGATAGTATATTACGTCTGCAATATATTTTGCTAATAGAATTCGCGCAGTGTGTAAGTGTTAACTTCCCTCTAATATTACACGATAGTTCTATAAGTAAAACACTAAACTAATTATTCTCCAGCAAGTTAGTATATTATACAAGACAATAGCTTGTTTAGTTACAGCTATATACTAATGCATTAAACTTAATAGACTGTAAGTGTTTCTCTTAAAGAATCTATAGGGAAATAATAGTTATACTAATATAATGTAAACTCTAGTTTGTATGTTTCTTGTTACTATACTGCAGTTGCAAACTAATATATTTATAATAGACTCGAGCTGTAGGCTCGAGTGGGTACAAGGCACTGTGTTAGTGCCTTATTAGATACGCTTTAGATGCACATTAGACCTATATATATATAATAGGCAGAAAAGGGGGGACAGAGAGCTTCTTCTTTCCCTCTTTTCTCTCCTTAAGTTTATAGTTAATACTAGTAAT